TATTGGGGCTGGCCTCGAACCAAAATTTTCAGTTTCCAAGTAGCTGGGATTATAGGCACAAGCCACTGTGCCCCGCCCTACTCCACACATACTTGTTTAGGAGAGACTCTCTGCCACCCTACCCAACCCTGCGCCCCAAAAGTGACTTAAGTTGAAAATGTATTTCTCCTTCACCATGATAGTCTGGGCTAGTGGGTCAGAATCAGTGTAGTGTGTTTGACTTCCGTATTCTCTCCCGCAAGAAGAAGAAATGACGAAAAGCAAGCATGTTCGTTCCTTTTAAGGCTGACTTAGAAGTTGTGAGCATCAACATGTGCTCAGCACTTAGTGACAGGCAGCCCCTAAAACACTGGCGAAGGGACTGTTTCACAAGAAGAGAAGTGGACTGGGTATCGGGAGAACCAGCTGCAATTTCTACTCACAGCCAGCTTCAGAAGCCTGCTCCTCCTCCTATGTCTGCCCTGTTTTCCCTCAGGAAGCCTTGCAGAGGGCATAACCATGTATACAGTGGTCCAAGGCCGGTGTCTCCAGGGCGGCAGTCTAGGCTTCCTATCACATGGTGGGGTGGTCTTGCTCACCCCTCAGCATTCTCAAGTTGTTCCCTGCTCTGCCTTACTTTGTCTTGCTGTCACTTTTTACTTATTGCATCATCTTCTTAACAGTCCTCTGCTCTGCTGCCTCTTTCCCCTTCAGCCCCCTCCCTCCCAGCAGCTTTCCTGATAGACTTGCTCCACTGTCCCCTGGCGTGGCTCCCTGGAGGTTGGTCCTACCTGCCTTCCCAGCCCCACAGCTATAGCTGTGCCTTTCAGTTTCAAGACCCTCTGCCTGCTGGGCCCTTTCCACTCCCACCTTACCACCAAGACTTTGTTCAAATATTTCTTCCTCTGCAAATGTCCTTGGTGTCCCCTTAGCTCTCAGTCACACTTCCTCTGTCAGTACGGGTGGCAGGCAAGCTAACAGCTCTGCAATGGAGGGCATTTGCAATGGGCAGTGTCTTCTGAGGGCTTTTTGGGGGAGGACTGGAGTTTGATCTCAGGGCCTCATGCTTATTGGGGAGGCACACTTCCACTTGAGCCAAGCCTACAGCATATTTGACTTTTTTTTTCTTTTTTTGTGGAACTGGGGTTTGAAAGCTGGTGCTCTACTGCTTGAGCCGCACCTCTAGTCCATTTTGCTGGGGTTATTTTACAGATGGGGTTCTCATGGACTATTTGCCTAGGCTGGCCTTGAACTGTGATCCTCCCAATCTCAGCCTCCCAAGTAGAAAGGATTACAGGTGTGAGCCATCAGTGCCAGTTTACAAGTGCTCTTGACCACTATTGAAGTCAAGTACTCCCAGAGAGGATTTGTGCGTTTGCTTTTCCTGGTTCCCTGAAGCAGTCCCCACTTGAGACTCCTCTAGGATGGCCCTCGCTTTTCCCTGCCTCTTGGTGGTGATGCCCCTGTGAAGTCCCCTCTCCTTGAGTGTGGGCTGAACTAGTTGAGTCATTTCCAAAGTTTAGAATGCAGTAAATGAGGGGACTCCAGGGTGGATCACCAAAAGACTGTTCGCCTTCTTGCTAGCACACTCAGTTACTCACTCACCCATTGTTGCTTTTCTCTCTGAGCCTCAGTCTGGAGGAAGCATGCAGGTGGACTCATTAGTAATGTTTTACGATTGTATTATACATTCCAGGCAGAGGGATTGCCGGGGAAGGTGCATTTACTTTTCATTTTGATAAACTACCTGGTTATCCTCTAGAAACATTTACCAAGTCAGCTTCCATCTCATGAGCAAGCCCTGCACTCACTTCTTTGTCCCCTTACCAGTATTGCCATCTTTCTAATATTCGACAGTTTGATAGATTAAAAAGCAAAATCAGAACAAGCTCTTCATATAGCCCAGGCTGGCTTCAAACTTTTGATCCTCCTGTCTCAGCCTCTTTCTTGGGTGCTGAGGTTTAAGGCATGAACCACCATGCCCAGCACTCATTGGACATTTGCCAACACTTCAAATTTAAGAGAGCTACACTCATCTAATCTTTTCACCCAAACTAGTCATTTCTCTGAGAGTTCCTGACATTCTCTCAAGTGTCCATAACTCAGGAGCCACCTTTGATCCTCCTCTTTCCATAGCTGACCGATAGAGAGAGAGAGAGAGAGAGAGAGAGAGAGAGAGAGACAGAGACAGAGAGTGTGTGTGTGTGTGTGTGTGTGTGTGTGTCTGTGTGTTTGCTGTATTTTGAAACAGAATCTCGCTTTGTAGCCCAAACTGGTTGTAAAAACCTCCTGCCTCAGCCTCCCAAGTGTTGGGATTATAGATGTGTGACACCACACACAGCTGTAACCAAGAATTCTTCATATTCTTATTATATCTCCTGACTCCAGATCCACATCTGAGTTGTCACTATGGTCATCTCCACTGACCTCCTGGTTGCTACTCTAACTAACCTAACCCTGGAGGAAGTCCTCATGGATTTGCAACTCAACTGTGTATCACAGTGTTCCTTAAAACTACTCAGAAGTGTAACTTTGGGCATCGACTCTTGGAGCTTTCATTTGCTTCTAAAATCAAAACAAGTTTACAAAGCAAATAAAAGCCACACAAAACCAATTCAAGTTACAATGAAGGTGATTCTGCTGACTATGCTGCTGCTTACACAAACACAAAGTAGATTCCTGGTTGCTGGGGACTGGGAAGGAAGAGCGCTGGGAGTCAGTGTTAAGGTACAGAGTTCCAGTTCTGCGAGGTGAAGAATTCTGTGGATGGATGGTTGTGTTGGTCATACAGCAAAGTGAATGTACTTACTATCACCAAACTGTATGGTTCAAAATGCTTAAGTGGTAAATAATGTGTATTTTAGCATAATAAAAGTAAAACATTTAATATTAACTAAAAGACTAAAAGTTTTTCTTTTGGTGGTACTGGGCTTTGAACTCAAGGCCTCTTGTTTGCTAGGTAGATGCTCTACCACTTGAGCCACACCCACAGCCATTTTTGCTTTGTTTATTTTGGGGAGAGTGTCTCACATTTTTACCCAGGCAAATCCAGGCAACAACCCACCTATTCATGCTTCCTACCTAGCTGGCCTCAAACCTCCATCCTCTTGATCTCTGCCTCCCAAGTAGCAGGATTACAGGCACAAGGCACCTTGCTTGTCTTAAAAGACCAACATTTTAATGTGCTTGTAGAAAACTCATGGACTCTGAATATTTTTGCAGACCCCCCTCCCCCACTGTCCCAAATGCTTTAATCCATTTTTGCCCCCATCCCTCTTTCTGGCCTGGGAGCCTAACAGTGACCTTTCGCTATATTTCACTGTTAAACTCTCCTTGACAGTAGCTTCAGCTATAGCTCCACACACAGCCTCACCTCCTTGCTTGACTTGTGCCTGCCTATCACTTTCATTATCCAATCCTTCCAATTGGTTGGACCACTTTTCCTCCTCCCAGTGGGATGGTCCCAGCCCACAGGGGCTTCCTTCCATCCCAATGTGTCCTTCTGACCCAGTTATCATTAGTCACACATTACCACATATCCTCCCAATTTTCAACAAACATTCATGGGTCACAGGCCATATACATGACAATGTGCAAAGCCCAAGTTAAGTGCTACATTTTATGTCTCTGTAATTGTTTGGATGATGTCATACTGGTCTGTGCTATTACATTCCACATATACTTTTATTCATTCACTCATTTAGAGATGAACTCTCACTATGTTGCCCAGGCTGGTCTCAAACTTGTGGACTAAAGTGATCCTCCTGCCTCAACCTCCCGAGTAGCTAAAATACGAGTACATGACACCATGCCTGCCTTGGACAGCAATTTTTTTTTTGGAATTGGGTTTTGAACTCAGAGTTTCATGTTTGCAAAGCAGGCACTCTACTGCTTGAGTCACATCTCCAATCCATTTTGGTCTGGCTATTTTTGAGGATGGGGTCTCTTGAACTATTTGCTTGACCTAGCCTTGAAGCTCAGTCCTCCTGATCTCAGCCTCTCAAGCAGCTAGGATTACAGGCATGAGTCATCAATTGAACAGTGAATTTTAAACTAGTGAAACTAAGGGCTGGCAGAGTGGCTCACGTGGTAGAGCACGTGCCTGGCAAACATGAGGCCCTGAGTTCAAATCCCAGTACTGCCCAAAAAAAAAAAAACCCAGCTAAACAAGTGAAATTGAGAATGGTATAATTTCGGGCTGGGCATGGTGGTTTGTGCCTGTAATCCTAGCAAGGTAGGAGTCAGTCCAGGCATAAAAGTTCACAAAACCCCATCTTAACCAATAAAAAACTGGGCATAGTAGGTGGACCAGAAGTAAAAATAGGAGGATCGCAGTCAAGGTCAGCCTGGGCATAAATGTGAGACCCTATTCAAAAAATAAAGCAAAGAAGGCTGGGGCATGACTCAAGTGGTAGAGTGCCTGCCTAGCAAGCTCAAGGCCCTGAGTTCAAACCCCAGTACCTCCAAAAAAATGGTATAATTTTAAGACTTGCCTAAAGTTAGTCTATTTTGTTGTTAGTAGTATTTTTTTTTTGTACCAATCTTAAAAAAAAAAAAGAGTTGTCAGTAGAGAAAAAGTTTCAGGACAAGTTCCATGGGGATTACACAATGGAAGGTCTGAGCCCTAGTTACTGGAAGTTTCTGTGCTGATAACTGTGACGTTAATTGCCATGACATCTGGGATCAGAGCACCCAGAGAATATGATTTCCCTAACAGACATGTGCACAAACAGAAGAACCTTTACTCATGTGTTAGGAGTGTTTGAGAGACAGAGTTTTAAAGATGCCAAATATAATCAAATTCACTGAACTCAGATTTGAGTTTTTAAAAATCTATATTTAAGCTCTGAGTGTTTTACTTACAGAATTTTGCACGTGGCCCACTTGTTTCTGCACAAAGGTAAAACACCGTCCATATCTGCTTAATTTCCCTCATTTTGCTGTTTCAACAAGACTTAGTCCCGCAGTCATTTCAATGTTAGTTAGTCAATGTTTGTTTCACTCTCAGCCTCTTTTGAGCTTCATTTTCTCTCTTTATGTTCTCGAGAACAGGTTTGAGGTACAGGGTATTCTTTCCCAAGATCCACAACAATTACCTCCTTAGAAAACGTCACTCCTTTTAAAGGTCTTTTTTGGCCATCAAAAGTTGAAGGATTTCCAGTGACAGGTATGGTTGATTTCTCCAAATTTTCACCCTTCAAGGGAGTAGGACAAAGAGCTTAAGTGATCAGTTTATGAACATAACGAGGCCTGCTTTTCACAAACACAGGCTCTATGTACATTGTGAATAAGAAGCAGGAAAAGAATTCCACAATGGTGTTGGGAAGCAGTGATAGTCCATCATGATGACATTACCTACAATGACACAAATACTCCTTGATGGTGTTTGCTAATATTCCTATAAAGTAGTCAAACCCAGAGGCCACCTGGACCATGACTCTGTTTTGGGCAGGGCATGGTTCTGTGGTGGGAAGGCATGTGCCTGTTGTCATTAGGAAGCCCTGGACATGGAACTTATATGTTTGGGTGCTGCTTTTGGAAGAGGCACTGGTCTAGTTCAATGATATGGAGACTTGGTCCTGAGCTCAGCCGCAGAGGGGAAGTGAACAACTTGTCTAATGTTTTCATCTGTAACATGAGAAGGTTGGGTCCCTAGATGACTACATGGTCTCTTACACCTCTAACATTCTAAGAGTCTAAGAAAAACAAAACAAATGGAGAATTGTTCAGAAAAGCAGGAATGTAAGAATGAAAAACAAGCGAGCTTCTAGATCTGGCAAATATACTAGTTTAAGAACATGAAATGATATGCTTAAAAGAATGGTTTAAATGATTAGATGCTGGACTCACTCCAGATACAAACCTAAGTTACCAGCAACCCCATCCCTTATGCTTTATTATACCCAGCTGGGAGCTTTTCCTTCTTATTCAGACAGAAATTCTAAACTGCCCCTTGAGGACAAAAAAACCCCACATTACCTCTTGATTGGTGTCATTAGCATCCTTAGGCTCTTGTGTCTCTTTTATTTTGTCCTCTTTTGCCTCCTCCTCTTCTCTGTTTTCTACTGGTGCATCTACCACTTCTTTACTCCGTCTCTGGACAAGAATGCTAGGCCCTGCTGGCGCTTTCAAGTCGATGACTTGCATTACAATCCTAGAAAAAAATCAAACAACATGCCAGATGTGGTGGCATACACAAGTCCCCACCCCTCACCCCATCTCAACAAACAAGCCAGGGATGTTGGCACTTGCCTATAATCCCAGCTACTTAGGAGATGGAGATAGGATTGTGGTCTGAAGCCACCAGTGAAAAGTTAGTGCAAACCCTATCTGAAAAACAAACTAAAAGCAATTGGACTGGGGAACATGGCTCAAGTGGGGCAGAACGTTGCTTAGAAAGTGTGAAACCCTGAGCTCAAATCATCAGTAAAAAAATAAATAAATAAAATAAAAATAAACAGGATTTTAAAAATTCATGCACCTTAGTCAACATTTTTACCTACAAAAATGTCTTAGGTATAGACTTACTTTTCTTGCTCTCCTGGATTGTTCGTCACAATAGAATTTAAACAATCTTCAATATCGTTACCATCTGTTTTTCCTGTCTTTTCATCTTTCTTGCCTTGGAAACTAAAAATGATCAAGGAAGAAAAATCAGAAAAAGCAAGAATGGTTCTGACTATAAGGTATAGTGTGGGAATCTCTCTTTTAAACAGGAAATTATCATTTCTAAAACCCTGAAATGGAAAAGTAGGTAGCTGCTGCATTACTTGTTCTATTTTAAATTATTCCATATATTATCTAGATACATTTCCAAGTGTAACCTGAAATCTGATCCCAATTTATCAACATGGATTTATACCATTTATATAAAAAAACCATCAATAAAAGGAAGATGCAAATGAAGCAAATTAGAAGGATGATGAAGATAGTGATTGCTGTGGTTTCAAAGCTCATAGGGCCAGATTTAGAAAACTGGTCCATTCTCATAAACACAGATTATCCAATCATTTTTCTTCCATCTCAGTTTGAATGTAGTTCTCTTGTTCTTTTAAGTTTTCTAGAAACAGAAGAATAAAAGGATATTTTCATTGATGTTCTTTTGATCCATTGAGCTTCATAAAAGATGCCCTACTTGTTTTGGTGGTAGTGACTCACACTGGCTAATTTCTCTCCATAAATGTGGTGGGGGCTGAGGTGGCCAGAGGGGAGACTGAGCTGGGACACGTTGATCACTCAGCTCACCTCCCCTCACCCCAAAAACGATCAGAATCCAGAGGAGAGAGGAATTGGAGCAGCTGGAGCCAAACCCAGGTCCCCATTCTTCTCTTTTCAATGACATCACAGAACCATGGAACCACTGAACTGGAGGCAGGAAAACCACTACATTCCTCTGAGCTGTAGACCACCCTCTCATCTGAGAGGTGTGGGTGGAAGCCATAAAAAAGCACTGTCTTGATCATTCTTTAGCCAAGGATTTTCTTCCTACTTTCAAGGCCTCATTTTCCTCTCCTCATCTAAGCCTGACTCTGCTTCTTTAACAGACCTGAACAATTAGTCCACTCACTTATAAAATCCTCCTTTCACAACTCTCAGGTTGGTAATTAACTTACTCTAACAGCTTTTCCCCAGCATGAACAGCCCATATTCTCTGAATCCTACCTCACTAGGCCTACTTCCTGGACACAAGGAAACTAGCAGCAACAAAGGCCATGACGTGAGGAAGCAGGAGTAGAACAAGATGATCAGTGTGAAGGTGAACTTTGACCCTGCCCTAACTTCAGGTAAGAGTGATGCCCATGGCAAGGACGGAGAGGGTGGAGTTTGGATTCTGAGAAGAAAGAAGGAATACGACAGTTACAGAAGAATATTCACATTTACAGAGGTCAGGGTGAGCCTGGCATCTTAGTCCATGTTGCGCTGCTATCACAGAGTATCACAGATTGGACAATTTTTGTAATGAATAGAGACCTATTTCCTACAGTTTGGAAGATTGGGAGGCCCAAGATCAAGGTGTAGCAGCGTAGGGCCCAGCCTACCTGCTTCCAGTTAGTGCCCTGAATGCTGGCTTTCCACTGGGGAGGAATGCTATGTGCTCCACGGCAGAAGGGAGACAGACAGTAACATCCTCACAAGCCCCTTTACAACTGCATTAATCCATTCCTGAGGCCCTGCCAGACAGCTCTCCAAAAGACCTACCTCCATCAGAGATTATGTTCCCAACATGAATTTTGGAGGGAATACATTCAAATGATACCAAGGGGTCTTTGCACTGCAGAGACACTGGCTCCCAAAGGGTGGGGACTGCAGCTCCTTTATCATTGGATGCTCCAAGTCATTCTGCAAATGTTGACTGAATGTGTGTGTGTGTGCAGAATTTGTTGAAGGGTTCATGTGAACATTGGAGCCACATCCAATGGATGACTCGTCCAGATAAAGTTCCCAGGTGAAGGTTCAGAGTCTGTCTCACACTTCTTACTCTACATAGCAGCCAGAACAACTTCAAGAACCCGAGAGCTGCGGATGAGGCTCAGTGGCACAGCACTTGCCCAACATCCGCAGGGCCCTGGGTTTGATCCCCAGCAGTACCAAAAAAATAATAAAAATAAAAATAAAATAACATCAGAACTGGGCATGTATCTAATAACTCAAACAATATAGTGAAGATTAACACTTTTGTGCCCTCTACTGTGTGGATATTATACTCAGTAAAAAGGGAGCAAGGCTGAGCAAGGGGGCTCATGCCTATAATTCCAGCTACTTGAGAGGCAGAGGTTAGCAAGATTGTGGTTTTAGGATAGCCTGGGCAAAAAGTTAGTGAGACCCGATTTCAAACATTTCTGGGTGTGGTGGCTCTCCTGTCATCCTAGCTATGTAGGAAACATAAATAGGATTGCAGTCCAGGCTTTCCAGGGTGAAAATGAAAGACCCTATTAGAAAAATAACTAAAGCAAAAAGGGTTAGTAAAGTGACTCAAGTGGTAGAGTGCCTGCCTACCAAGCACAAGGCCCTGAGTTCAAACCCCAGTACCACCACAAAAAAACAAAAAAAAGAAGGAAAAGAGGCCCCCATGCCATGCTGGTTTGAGAGAAGTACACAGAGTAGTGCTAGCCTAGGGCACACTGCTGCGAGTTGGTCCTGTCTCTAAACCATCTACCACATACTTGGAGGAGGGAGACTTGCTGAAAAGATGTGGCAGCAGAGCACATGAAGGGTGACATGTGTTCTGCTGCCACTGAAGGGCTGTGTCAGAAGGGCTTTCACTGAATGTGGCTTGGGGAATTGATAGCTTAAATTTATGTGTATAGTTAACAAAATTCTGGAAAATGGAAGGTTATCCAACTTTGGTTGGATAAATCACATTTTTTTCCCTGTAGTACTGAGGTTTGAACTCAGGGCCTCATGCTTGCTAGGCAGGGGTATACTACTGGAGCCACTCTGCCAGTCCTATTTTGTGTTGGGTATTTTCAAGATAGGGTCTCGAGAACTGTTTCTGGCATTTGGCAGGCACTCTACCACTTGAACCACTCCACCAGCCCTTCTAAATCACATTTTATGTGCAGTGTACTGTAAACTCTGTGAAGTTATGGGAGCAGGTCTCCAGGGTCTAAGAAAGTACACCTGGAACACAGATGTTAAAATAAATTATTTAGGGCAGCACATTACCACCAATTCAGCAGAAAAATACAAGGATTATAAGAGAATACCATGAACAATTATATGCTACACAACTGGATAACCTAAATGAAATGGAAAATATCTAAGAAACACAAAACCTATCATGACTAAGTCATAAAGAAACAAAATCTGAATAGACCTATAACAAGCCTGTATCAATAATAATAATAATAATAATAATAATAATAATAAAAATCCTAAATGACCTGGCTTCCCTTGTGAATTCTACCAAATTTTTAAAGAAGAACTAACACTAATCTTTCTCAAACTATTCTAAAAAATTAAAGAGGGAACATTTTCTTATCATTCTATTTGACTGGCATTACCCTGATATCACAGTTAGAAAAAGGCACTATAAGAAAACTAATATCCCTTGCAAATATTGATTCAAAAGTCCTCAACAAAGCTGAGTGCCAGTGACTCACACCTGTAGTCCTAGCTACTTAGGAGACTGAGATCAGGAGGATCAAGGTTCAAGGCCAGCCTGGGCAACTAGTTCACAAGACCCCCCATCTCCAAAATAACTAGAGCAAAAAAGGGCTGGAGGCGTGGCTCAAGAGGTAGAGCACCTGCTTCAAACCCCAGTCCCACCAAAAGAAAAAAGAAATCCCACAACTCAGTAATAAAACAAATTTTAAAATGGTGAAGGTTTCAATAGACAGTTTTCCAAAGATACTCAGCCACTTGGGAGGCTGAGGCAGTTCTCAAGTTCAAGCTCAACCTTGGGTTACACAGTCAGACCCTGTTCCAAAAAACCAAACAAACAAACAAAAAATAATACACAGAGCAACTTAAAGTATTTCTACTCACATAAACACTTGTGTCTTAACATGGGTAAAGTAAGGCAGGGTAGAATCCAGGCATTGGTCAGCAGATAGAGGCTTCTCATTGGAGCGAGGGGGCTTTTCCGCCTGGCCTCTACCACATGGGAGCCAGACATCAACACTGTCGAGGACGAGCAGTTCTTCCCTGACCCACCTCCTGTCTTGGAGCTTCTCTGCTATGGTGGCCAGGGGGCCTGCACTCCTGGTGACAGGGCTGTGGCTACCGATACTCCAGATGGGTCCAGAGCACATGTAAAGTCCCACCACCATACAATCTGGTGAGATTCTTTTAGGAAAATACAATCTCTGAATTACAAGATGAGGGGAGGACATTCAGAGTCCTCAACTGCAGCTGCCTGAATTTGGAAACCAGGGAGAGCACAGGACCCAGGCCTGGCTGATCAGAATAGTCCAGATTCAGGGGTTGACATGTGTCAATTAATTAATTAGTCTCGGTGGCAAGACACATACAGGAACTACCAGCACCAAAGAAAGCAAGACTGGAGAGTGGCAAATTACACGTGGCTCTGCTTGATCTAGACATGCCTGAAGTCTTAACTCAGTGTAAACTGAAAGCTGGACTTTCAGTTGCAAGCCAGTGCCTTTCCTTTTTGGCTTAAGCTAATTTGAGTGTGGTTTATGTCTCCTGCAATTCAAGTTTCCTAACAAGCTCAGTGTTATAACCCATATCATACAACCTACTTTCTTTTTCATTTGAAAAGTTGCTGACATTTCTAAAAATTGGGACTTTTCACTCCCTTTGCTAAAAAAAAAATTCTGGTGCCCTGACCCAGGATTCTAACAGCTACAGGTGGCTGAAACAGTCCCTCCACCTGGGGTCTGTGTTCCCCTGTAGGCCACAGTGCCACTGAGCTTGAGACTCTAAGTAATGGTTTTGCACAGAGGCTGACTTCTGTGCAGATGGAGGGTGTTGTTTCTAACCCCAAGGGCCCAACACTTCAAGTTCTCCAGAGATAAGAAACCATCTCCTGTCACCCCAATTGGGTAGACAATGTCCTGGAAGAGAGAATTCAATCCACCTCGGCCTCTTTTTTCTGAGCTGTCCACCTGGTCTTGACCTTACTTGACACAGACATTGGGTTCCAAATACGAGTCATCACTCAAGGAACCAGTGTTCCTTTGATAAATAGCAGCTTCCACTATTTATCAAATAGTGGGGACAGGGAACGCACAAGTTGAGCTTGGAGCAAAAAAGCAGGCTGGAGGTTTGACTCAAGTAGTAGAATGCCTGCCTAGCAAGTGCATAGCCCTGAGTTCTGAGTTCTTATACAGTACTGCCAAAAAAGAAGAAAAGAAGAAGAAGAAGAAGAAGAAGAAGAAGAAGAAGAAGAAGAAGAAGAAGAAGAAGAAGAAGAAGAAGAAGAAGAAGAAGAAGAAAGAAGAAGGAGGAGGAGGAGGAGGAGGAGGAGGAGGAGGAGGAGGAGGAGGAGGAAGAAGAAGAAGAAGAAGAAGAAGAAGAAG